ACTAAATAAACCGTATCAAACTAACTGGAACACTAGTTGGAATTCTTCTCCACGGTATACTTTTGTTCCTTCAGTTAGCCTACTAATACAGATGCAATTGGAATTCAACTCTTAAGGACAACTTACCGGCATAATCGTTATCTGATTTCATAATTTAAACCAAAACTAATACCAATATTAACATTTCTACAATATCCATTATTTTAATATTTCTAAACACAAAATAATTACTGCCTATAAGTTAAGTTATTAACACGCATCGTTTTATTATTATTATTGCAATCCCATTTTTTATAGTTCAAATAATCTTCAACCAAATTTTCATTTTAAGCGTGTTAATCATGAAAGCAGATATTTTAAGATTATTGCATGTATTTCCCGACCAGATGCTGCCGCCTTCTTTTTGATTTATCTTTCAGCTTACCAATACCCGGAGGATTTTTATTATCCTTGGTAACCTCCGGCGCGCGACGATCCCATCCAATTTGGTATCGAACCAACATCACGTTGATTCTGGTGGGAGAGTAGTGTAGTGGCATTGAATAATAACCGCACAATCCGCAAAGCTGAACACGAGACTACTCAGAAAATAGATATTCAATATTTAACGCGGAGAAATACCTAACATGGAGAAGGCGCGGACAAGGAATTGAATGGACTGGAGTTGATCGAGTGGCATGGCTCGGCCATGCAGGCGTGGTCCCTGCTGGATGTTATCTTATATCTCCTATTCATATTAAATATATTGTTCTTTCTCTAGCCTAAGCTTGTTCTTCATCATGTATTGGTAGTTGTTACGATACGGTGAGTTGGTGTAGTCGATGATGTGACTTCCACGTAAGATCTTATAGATTAGGCAGTTATATCATGACAAATCTACAATTTTAGGATTAGGTCTATTGTTAGAGCAGTACTAATATCATAGTAGACCATAATTCTACAAATTCATTTTCAACAGTTACACGTAACCTGTCATTTATAATATTTTGATTACATGGTGAAAAATAGGGGTCAAGGGAAATTACTTTTTGCTCTATACTTTGACTTCACTGAAGCGTTTGTGAAAGTGTAATACTCATCTTTACTACTTACATTAAAGCCATTTAGAATGGCAAATAAAATGCATAACTGTATAACACGCTTCTCAAAGTACCGAACCCAGATGGTGAAAATAAAGCAATACATCTTCAATCCTCGGGACATCACCAGCAGTGTCCTCTAGGGCTCGATAATTAGACCTCTCTCTTTCACGGTGTAGATTATGTATGCAACTGCTTTTCAATTGACGTAATCTTGATATCTCCTGTCGACATAAAGGTGGTATTTACATTCCATTTAAGTTCCAGTCTTAATATCTGCTGTGTAATAAACGAAGATCTAGATAAATTTAGACAACGAACTGCCATAATCGTTTTAGGAATGAATCATTCGGAAAGTCATTTGTGCGTCAAACGAGTATTATCTTGAGTTTCCAAGCCCCATAGGTTTGTGGGGTTTATCAATCACAACTTCCAATATAAGTAATCCAAAAGGATACTCCGTGAGGTGGGATCAATATCTAGTAGAATGCTGTGTAATCATATTCGAATGTATGCATTTCCTAGATCAGCAGAAAATCGAGAAAGCACAAAACCACTTTACGAGGCTGTTTCATAGAACTACAATCCAAAATATCACCTTGTTTAACGATCGTACAACCAGGCAAATTAGAAATCTAGAACGACCTGATGCAAAGATTTACTCTTGAATAATTATCGATGTTTGGAGATGTATAGGCTCTGAACCGACTAGTTGTCGTGAGAATTGCTCAGCGTGACGCACTCGATTGTGATCCAGAATTATTGTTGACCAATCGCCTTCTAGCAAAGACGAGTCCATCCAAAAACCACGTGTAACAACCCAGTCAAAAGTGAATGTAAGTGTCACTGTTACTAGTGCTCTAAACACTATGTCTGCAAAGCTGATGAAACATTGGTCTCATACGAACTATCTATTTCCGTCCCCAAAGCGAGGCTGGAGATGACACCCTATCGATCTCCTTGTAGCCGGACTTATGGAAGCGACATACTGAATAGATTTGACGAGGAATCCGCAACTACCTTCCGTAATTTTAACGGTGTCTCAAGCAATCAGTCAGATCCCTCTTCAAATGACCGGACTTTTCACTCCCGCTACATTTGGGGACCACACTAGTTGAGATAACACGTTCTGCATGGTTTTCTACTAATTTCGTTAAAATATTTGCTTCACTTTGCATAAGTTCCCCACTTACATTATGTTGGTAAATTCTACGCTGCTCACTTTTGTTGAATCACACTGTTGCTATTTACATGGTACCATAGGTGTTATTTTCTTGTGCTGTTAGCTTATGAGTTTTAATTGCTATAAGAGGTTAGCCGATCCCCTTGTTGTCAATTTTCTGTAGTGTCAAACGTCGGTTATGGCTTTATAATGTGTCGATGGGTGTGGGTGTGTCATTTTAGTAGACGATGTTTAACGAGCATGAAGTATCAGAGCCTGGTAGTTGGTAGTTAGTTAAAAATAGCAGCAATAAAGCTGATCCGAACAGTCTTTAGGTTTGCTTTCGACACGAGTGAGATGACTCTATCTTAGCGATCCCATCGTTTGATACTTCGAATTTCTCGGCAGATTCTAACCAGTATTCCAATCTGTAATGCCTGTCAGATACACAAATTCTCGGTCGTGCATGACGACAATTTCCAAGCGTAAGGTTAATTGTCATTTTGTTGCCCAACTTGTGCATCGAGTCTATCGGCCTAAACTCCTTCTCAATATATGGCTGTTGCCCTTCCCGTGGATATCTATCCTGGCGAAATATCACTCCTAAAAGAGGGAAAAATTATTAACGTCCATAGATACGATATCGCCATTCAAAAATGTCTCGACAAGTCACGTACCAAAACTTTCTTTTGATAGGCCCCTGTGATCGGCTATGGATCAAGCAGCCGCTCACTCATTTATGGTCGTAATTATGTTCTCGGCAAGTTATCCCGATGACATTAATTTGTAAGCAAGTGCCTTTTATGTAGGGTATAGATGCGCTACCTGGGTCCGAAACGAATCGCTAATTAGCGAAACGGTTCCTAAAGTAAGGAACAGGTGCTTGTCCATTAGTTCCAGGCGCGTCTTATTAATTAGGAATGAGATACTACGAAGCTACTCATATGTTGCCACATAAATAACGACTACGTGATTCTCTTACAATATGTAAGTTCACGCATGGAACTGAAGTCGAAATCACCATGGAAAAACTATGTTGCTAACTTTACCGGGTCGAAAATTTAACATTTATTTGATGGTATAACTACTCAACAGATAGCAGATAGTAAACAATTGAGCAGACCATAATACAGAACCTACAGTACTTAACTTGAGTCCTGATGCTATGATCTACTGTATACCATTTCGAACATAAACAAAGTCCCTGTTCTTCAGTTATCTATATGATGAGTAAAATTGCAACAACGGGACGTAAAGAGCAATGGGTATTTTTTTACCGTTCTAGTAACATCAGACGCCCTTAAGAAATTATTCAACTGATAATGAACAGGCACTAGATACGATACGCTTGATACTAGGCTACCTATTGCTTGAAGAGTACCTAAAGTTACTACTCAACATATTTTGCGTCCAGATAGTGAAATCGCACCTCATCGTTTGTGCTATTAAGAAGGCATTGAATCCCATACAACACACTCCTTCAAATGTAAGCATATCGATCAGGGTTATGGCAAGTCAAATGACTTCTCAATAACGTGACGGACGTTCAGGAGAGTACACAAGAGGTACTGAACGATACGTTTTCAACGGGTGTAGGCAATCGACACAACCCTACTATCACAACAGAAAAATATTCCTATCACCCAAAGAAAAATGTTCAGCCAAAAGAAAAAGTGTGGATCAATTTTCTCCGATGATGAGCAGACACCAGTTAATAATAGCAAGAGGCATACTCTCCAAGGCTAGCAATATGGAACAGAAGCAGTTAACACATAAAGCAACAACTAAAACACAGCTATTCAATATGGCAATCACCAGAAAACGGTATTAAAGTAAGAGAAGTATAAAACAGCCACGAAAATAACCAGCAACCTCAAGGAATTAATTAGGATTCAGAATTTGTAAACTATATGGTATTAATAATTTCAGGTTGAGCAAAAAGATAAACAAGCATACCAAACTACGAGCAACAATAGAAGCAACAATACATACTACGGGACAACAAGGGAATGGTCATGAGGAAAAACATGCATGGACATAACATTATTAATATGTATGAAGATCTCGTAAAAGTCTTTACGATGTCTCGAATATACAGTGTCTGACAATTCTGTTGTCCACAACATCAATGTAATTGTTAATCTTAAATCCAGAGATAAAGGAGTTAGGGGACGTGTTTGGAAGATGATCGATACGTCGAGTAGTAAACGATCTATGCTGGCTAGTTTTTGTGGGGGATTCGAGGCACTCATAACCCAAATGAGATCTGCTGTGGTTGCTTGACTGAGTGCCTCCAACTAGGTGTTGTTCACTTAATCTATTTCAGTCACTATGAATATCGAAGACTAACAGGATTACATATTTTAGATATCACTTTACATCTGTAACCCTGATCATTCTGCCATGATTTACCTTTTATATGTAAATGTTATAAGATTTGTATAAACTTTGTAATAACAATCTTCGCATTTCGCACATGATTGCTTGAATCACGACAACGAACATGGTTTAAAAATCCATCCTTTTAACCATGAATCATCTCTCAAACGCTCTGGTGATGACTCAGATTTGACATAGCATTTATTAATTCTGGAAAGCAGTCGAACAACGGATGTCAGATGACCAAGCACACGTATATATACAACGCATATATTTCAAGTTACCCATACACAGTGGTGCCTAGAAATATTTAGACTCGATTCTTCCATGTTACTCCCGCTGTTGTTTGAGTCAGTTTCAATTACTCGGAAATATATTTTACTGTTTTTCCCGGAAATTTAAAATGGAGGATTGGGACTTTACTCGGAAACATATCATTGATAAGTAAGAATTCAGTTTAAATTAAGATTATTTTAAGCATTCCCTCTCGCAGAGGAATAACAGAGTGCAATTATGGTGGAAAAAGCTGTATTTTCATTAGAGGGATCAAGACAAATGTCATAACCATAAAACGTCACGATGCCAGTGATATTCGCATTCTGATAATACAGCAGTCTGAAATTTCACAATTCACCCAACAGTTATCGAGGTTTAAGCATGCGCAAATACTTATCCTTAATCAAATGTCATTGAATTTGTTTCCAATCTGCATCTCTTCTTTCAGACATCTTTCATTGCTGGATATTTCGAACAATTGTTTGAGCAGTGTACCTGAGGATATCGTTTACTTGACGTCGCTTACGCTGCTTAATGTTTCGAAAAATTGTCTGGTGGATATCACTGCTATATGCGAATTATCACAATTACAGTCTCTTGATGTAACTGAAAATAAGTTAACTGAACTCCCACGTTCATTTTGGAAGCTTGGAAGATTAAAAACTTTTTCTTGTTCATTCAACGAAATTGTCTGTCTTCCGGAGGAGATTGGGTGTCTAGAAGTTCTCACGGCTTTACGTATAACGAATAACAAACTTTCGACCCTTCCTCGCTCTTTCTCGAATCTAACCGGTTTACTACTTTTGCAACTTGATGGAAATGTTTTTGATCATATTCCTCTGCAAATTTTTGGTTGTATCTCTTTGTTAGAACTGAGTTTATCTCATAATATAATAGAGGGCAGTATTCCAGCTAAAATATGCTCACTGGTTAATTTGCGTACTTTGAATTTAGCATACAATAGAGTAATTGATTTTCCAGTAGAATTAGAAAAGCTAGAATCTTTGGAGTACTTAGATATTAGTGGTAATCCAGTGGAATTCTCCACAATTTCGTTTGGAAAACTCATTCAAATTCAGCAACTTTCTGCATCGAAATGTGGTTTATCATTTGTTCCTGATGATCTTAGTTTGTGTTCGAATCTTGTTATTCTTGATCTTAGCGAAAACGGTATAGGGAAACTGGCTAACGAAAGTCTCAGTTTTCCTCAGTTAACTTCTTTGTGTCTAGCGTTTAATATTATTTCCACTCTACCACTTTCAATCTGCGAACTCAACAATCTGGTAGTTTTGGAGTTACAGTTTAACAAATTAAGTTCGCTTCCAGAGGATTTTGAGAGATTGTCAAACACACTTCGCCAGTTAGATCTTGGTCATAATGAATTTGAGGTCATTCCTATGTCCCTGTTCTGTAGAAGAAGCCGTTTGTCGTATTTGTGTTTGGACGCTAATCCTATTTCAGAAGTTCCAAATGAAATAAACAACCTCAAGGAACTTACTCATTTATCTATATCAGACTGCAGGCGACTGAAGTCTTTGCCTGAAGGCTTAGGATCGTGTACGAATCTTTGTACACTTAAAGTTTCCAAAAATAAGTTATCGTCTCTTCCAAAAACTCTATCTAAGTTGGAATCACTCAAGTATTTGAATCTCTCAGATAATGACTTCAACCATTTTCCGTTGGTTGTTTGCTTTATACCGAGACTTCGTGTGCTTCTCTATGATCAAACGGAAGGCAGACCACTGCTACCTCCAGAATGTCTTAATGGATGGTATCAAAAAAGCCTACTACTTTATCCTGAAATAAAAGACTCATTTGATTCAGAATACGAAAGTAATTTCGAGGAAAATGTAGGAGCTGTTTTACTGAAAAATACGTTGTCAGAAACATCAGCTGCCAAAGGTTTGCCATCAATGATTGGAAATCTTACACATCTGGTTCATTTATCCCTTCAATCAAATGGGTTGTATATGTTACCTGACGTATTTCATAATATGATGTTACGGCGACTAAACGTCAGTCATAATCGTCTGCGATGTATACCTCCAAATTTACACAGGTCCAAGTATTTAACACATTTATATCTGCACAATAACAACATTGACTACCTGGATCAAAACATTCGAAGCTTGAGAACCCTGAAAATATTGACTCTTGATCAGAATCCACTTTTGTATCCTCCAGTGGAAGTTGGTGAAGAAAGGGTTTTTTCAGTGTACTCTTACCTAACAAACTACAAAACGTTTGATGGTAAGTACTGTAACTTCGTAAGTAAAGTTTTGTATGAGATTTCTAGGTGACTTTAAAAGCAAGGTGACTGTGCCAATCGTCGTTGTTCACCACAACGTATATCATTTTTTATCTCTTCACTGTAGTATAACATACCATAACTCACCATGCTTGTTATGATGTTAAACCACACCAAAATGGTGAGCTAGATAAGTCTCTGGAACAAGCCTATGTAAAAATTCCTATAATAACACCAGATCCTGGAAGCTGCTATCTAGTGAATAAGTTGATGATGACTGACTTACTCCTTATAGAGAAATATAATGTGTAAAGTCACCCTGAATAGTACTTTATCAGATAAATTTTCGAACAACGTGAACGCCTTTAGAAAAATAGTCAAGAACCAATTTAGTAAACACTTGGCGTTCAGATTTGCATCATACTTACAGAAGTTTTACGTAGGTGCTTTTTTGGCACCGATACTACTACTAATACTTTGATATTGAACTTAATAATCTCATCTCGTTGCGTTAATGTTGTATGGCAACTTGGGCCAGTGTGTACATTTGCCAGATTCTACATTGCTTATGAGTGATTAATCAGTAGACACATTTTTACTGAATTTAAAAACTCATTTTAGAAGTAAAATAAGCGTAAGTAGAAAGTGAAAATTAGTGAAATATATTGTGACAAATTGTTTGTGAAGAAAATATGTGACTGAACTAGGGAATACTATACATAACATGCGTTTCTTAATAATTTTTAGGAGTCTTGTTTACGTAAGCACTTGTAATGAAATTTACTCCTTCAGAATGCCGTGATAGATTCCGATACGTGATCTATAAATTGTAGAAACCAAACTGTTTCCTCACATAAAACAATTGATCTTTTTGAGAAATTTTGATCGTACAATAAGCGGACAAAGGTTACCAAGCTAATGTAACATATTTGTGCAGTACATCTCAAACAATCTGATCACACATACTTGTTAGGACATTTTTATATGAAAAATAAAGGGTTAGCTAGACAACTAAAAGGTGAGCGAATGCAAATAATCATTCGTTACACAAAAACGTGAAAACCACACTGAATAATAAATCACTATTACCAAGGTAGGTTAAGGGTGAAATAAAATTGTTTTTGAACGCATAAAGAGTTTCGGTTTTTGCATATCCAAGGATTCACTAAACCTTGGTATATGCCCTTAAATGCTTTTGTACAAAACTATAAAGGCCGACTTGATATCAACCTAATGATCGGTCTCAACCAAATGTTTGGCGATGAAGAGAGATGTTTGTCTATCCTGTGATCTTATTTAACCATTGGAATTCATTTGTTTTTACAGTCATTTAGGTATTTGTTCAGCCATCCTTGCTTAGAGATCACGGTTATTAATTAATTTAAAATATATAAAGGTCCATATTCATCATCTGGACCACAAAAGGTTCGCAAAAAGAAACAGATGGCTCTGCTTAAGAATGGGATTAAAAATTAGTGTTTGGATAAGTTTTACAAAATGAAAGTTGTTTTGTCTCATTTTCAGATCTAATACTTTTTAATGTATAAAGTAAAAAAATTTTGAGTTGAGTGGTCTCATTTTTTTGATGTATGAATTTGAAAACTACATCTTTAATATGACCGACGCGACACATCCAATAACATGATGACAAATAAGTTATACACCGTAAGTGTCAGTAAGAATCCGAAGTCATTCAAATATACTATGAACTTGTACCGGCTTACAAATTCATTCCAAATGTAATTCTCTTAGTGGTATTAAGTGTATGTTCAGGAAAATTGTCAGACTATAACGTTGCTCTAGCCTATAAAAACTTTGAGATTATCTGTGTACGGAACATTAAGTTTCACAGTTGTTGCGAATATTATGTGATGCTTCACAGTTGGTTACACTGCTGTGTGTACATTCCTTCCTTACGTTTCTATGACCACTAAAAATGTATTATTGTTGGTCCAATCATGTTGGTATTCTTTTTAACTGCTGTTTAAAGTAACTTTCACTAATACTTTTGTGGTTTGGCCTCTTTGCTTACATGTACTTAATTTTCTCTTGGGATACAAATAATGCAATGTAATTACATAAGAAATAGTGTGTGTGGTATATAAAGTATTAATTACTATAGTTCAATTATTATACCATTAAGTGTATTTAGTATGAATCGAGTTCATATATTGATATATAGTGTTTATGTTGCTGATTCGTCTATTATTAAATGGATGTTTACTTCTTATTAGATACATTAAATATGTTTTCTACAACATTGGTAGACTGATTTCATTTGATAAACCCTCGGATAAGAGTATTACGGAGTCTAAATTTCAGGAAGTCATACTTAACACCTTAATGATAATCTATCCACTACGAAACTGTAAATATTTCTTGTCTAATCTCGGAAAAGGTCGATAATTATACTAATCATTACTTATCCACTACCACATACCTATTTGTTGCTTCTTGAACGGAAATCTGTTTGTAATAAAAGCTACTGCCAGGACAGTATTAATTCTTAATCACAAAAAAATTACATTTTGGTTTTTCCGCAATTGATTTTTCACTTAACATATAGAATTTGTATTAAAGTCCCTGTGTGAAATACTCATCAACAACTTTCCAAAAGAAAACACTCACAGTCTACTTCAAAAAATTGGTTTCTCTGATATTATGATCGAATCCTTGGAAAAACAGTTTCCCGGAGGTCACAACCACATCAAACGTTTGAAAGTTGCCTTTGAAGCTTGGACTGGTTTTACTTTCGAATATGAAAATTTAGGTTTAAATATAAAGTCTAGAGAATCATACTCTGGTCAACAACTAAGCGATAGTAAGGATTTTAACACATCTGATATACTTGCTCAACCAGATAAAAAATTATTGGTGCAGAATCAATCCCTGCAATCCGAACTATGTGATACAAAAGAATCTTTCAGCTCAAATAACAAAATACTCAAAGAAACAAATTCAAATTTGTATATTAATTCACACAGGCTTTTACATATTGTACATTTAATTGGTTTGGACCAGTTACATTCGAAACTTATGCAATACGTACTACGTGCTCAGCAAGTACGATTTTGAACTGTTCAGTTAACTGACGAGATTAAATTTATTCGATTATTTTTTGTTACTTTACTATGTATACATTTTTTAAGATATCTTGTTTTCTTTGAAATGATTTCCTATAATGATTTGTTTTATTGCTAATACTTTTAAAATATAATCTATCATTTAGATATAAACACACTTCCCTTTTTCCAAAACTTATTTTTTGTCTTTACTATTAACTAATCACCGGGATTTGAAGTATTTTATTAATAAATTCGTACCTGTTGTGCTTCACTGGTGTTAGCATATAAGTAATTTGAAGCGAATCGTTGAGTAGCTATATCGAAGTAAAGTATACAGCTTCTTTGGCCTAAAGGGTACGTATTATTATTTGACTGCTAGTTTGTTCTAGTTAAAAAGTAGTTTCAAATTTAAGGAATGCAGTTACTTAACACCCTACTACTAGATTTCAGGTTTTGAACTACGTTTAATATATTTTGGTCTAATTAATAGGCTAATTCTATGAAACCTAATGTATCTACCACGTACATGAACTCTTACTTGTTTGCTGTGTTGAATTTATTAGGTTATTTATTGAAAGGAAAATAGCTTTAATTGCAAGTAGTTAGTCAATTATTTTTCCATGCTATACACTATTCGTCTTTTCTTTTATGATCAAGGTGTGAACATCTGTGCACATAGGGGTTATTTCAATTTAAATAGAGAAATAATATTAGGCAACTGTTGAATATTCTGTTCATTTCATTAAATAAATTATAATATATCTTGACATAGGTTCACATAACTGTCCAATTCTCGATGGTTTTATATTGCTTTTCCGATTCAGAATTCTTTTAAACATTTTATATGGACCGCAAAGGTTTCAGTGAATTAGATAGATATATCTATCATTAAGTTATGCTATAGTAATGATAATAGTAATCTTATACTGTGACATTCTTGAGATGTCTAAAAATAATAATTGGTGTACCACCAAACTAGTGATAATCGTTTGTTTAAACTTTTTGAAAAGGGTTTTGTAAAGTTTGATCACCATTATCAACTGGCAGCTCATTCATGTGACTTAGTCAATGGTTTAGTGCATAAGTACGACTTTTTTGTGTTCAGTTGACAAAACTGCACTTTAATCACATAAAAGTACTCTCTCATCTTTTTTATTTTAGAAATTAATTAATTTTGAGTGTTTAATTCTATGGTAAATATCTTAAAAAAGAGTAACGAAAGGAAGTCAATTCTCAAATGCCTAATAGAGACATATTTTAAGTTTAATTTATTGGTATTACTATTTTATTTGTTGATGAACTAATGAACACGAAGATGTCAGTATAAAACGTCTAATGATCCAGTATTGATGGCAGTGTAGTATTTTAAATAAAACAGCGTCCATTTATGGAGTTTGATCAGTAACAAGGACTGGATAACCTGATATATATTTCTACAGAGTGGTCAGTGAGTGCAAAGATATTAGTCTCACGAAGTGCCAGTTCCGGCAGAAAATATTCATTGACAGAGTCTCTGAATGTTACATTGTGTAACTTTATTTCGAATTCCACTGACAACATGAGTTCTCTCAGGATTACAGATAGGCTTGGGGCAACGAGTGCCAACTTAAGCTAACCATGGTTTCGGGCTTTTCGTCAGTGAACTTCAACTACTTAGCGTAGATTGTCGTCACTGTACGCGTAATATATATTTCCATAATAATAGGAAATTTCACAGAATATATGAATATTATATAGGCTTTCTGAAAGCTAACCTGAATAAAGAGTATAGCTTAACCAATGGTGCCTCCCAAAAGCATAATCCCTAAAGACACTTAGTACTATTCATAATTATCAAATATAATAAGGTCGAAGAGTGCTAAATCTGAATCACCTTTGCCCATGTAGTTCCTAATCTGCATATAGTAGCGTAAATATGCACAGAAATGTCGATCTGTATTTATCAGAGAGCAACTTACAACCTTAATAAAAATTCTAACCGGAATATCATTTACCTAACAAATAGGTTTCAGAAACCACTAATATTTCAGATTTGTTGGTTGTAAAGAAATAATTAATAGAATGAAATACTATCCAAGCACCAAGAGCAGAAGAAATGTCGAGTTAACTTTCAGACACTAATGATATGAAGTTAATCAAGTTATATAATAAGTCTACCAACAAATCGAATTTATGTTCGTTATGGCGTGTGAATATGAATAATAAGCTAACATTGTACTGAATCTGAAGTTTTTCAATTTGATTAAATGTTTCTGATGGTGAGTGGTGCTCAGTATTTTGAGAAGTATTCGTAATTATTGAGTATTACATCTTTTCAGGTTCTTCTATTGGTTAACTTTGTACAATCATTCTCGAAATAGAATGAAGGCTTTCAGTGCTCCAATATATTGTTATGTCTAAATATCTGAGCTACTTAACGCTTACTTATTTACTTACGCCTGTTACCCTTCGTGGAAAGCCATCGACCGCCCACCAGCACCCTTCATCCAACCCTGTACTGGGCAATTAATTACAGTCCTTCATTGTTGTTATTCATCATTTGGATGTCTGCTTCCGATTCTCGGTGCAGTGCGTTCTTTGTTCTTCATCTTTTTCATTCCCATTTTGGGTATCAAGTTAGCGCTTGACTCGTGATGCAGTTTGATCATTTCCACAATGTATATCCTATCCACTTCCAACGACTTTTTTGGTTTGTCTCCTCTCACAGTTGACTGTTGCTGATGGTGTCTGGCCAACAAACATTGAGTACTTTGCGTAAACAACTGTTTAGAAATACTCGTAAATTTTTGATGATGGTTGTGGTGGTTCTCCAAGTTTCAGCTCCGTACAGTAGAACTTTCTTGACGTTCGTATTGAAAATGCCCACTCTGATGTGGGCAGTATCAGGGTAACTCCCTGAGTGTGCAGAGCATTTTCTTCCTCGTGACCAAAGTACAGTAGCATCTCTCACGAATCTATCCTTTTCTGTTCAGCTTGGAACCAAGGAGTTTCACTGATTCCGAACACTGTCAAGTTGTATCTCCTCATTTCCGTAGCTATTTGATTGATCCTCCTAATCTCCTGCATTAGCCGGACATTCCACGTATTTACATTAATTGTTGCTCTGATTGTTGGAAGGGGTGTCGGCCTCATGGCTTCCGTAAAGTTACAACTTTTACCATTAGGCGTTATAACTCTTCTAATTGAATATCTTTGAACTTGGAGGGCAGAGTTTAAATGGTTTAACTTGTTGATTCTAGTAAGCGTTACTATTTAAATGAAAAATTAGATGGTTCCATTCACATTTGAAATATACTTCAATACAATTAAATAACTTCCAAATTAAATGAAAAATAGAAAATTGTATTGTGAATGTCTAATTTATATTTTATATCAAATTCAAAAAAATAAAATAAACAATCGAATATTTACTAGAGAATTTTACTAATACTTATCATAAATTAATTGTGATTTTATAAGATAAAAAACATACTGTTTTATTGTCAATGAATAATTTCTTATTATCTTCAGTGAACAGACTGAAGCATTAACTTTTCAGATTGTGAATGAATGGTTTATTTCACTTCTATAATATATACTTTCATAGATAATAGTTCAATGAAATTAAATGGTCGGTAATTTGAAACGTACATAAACAAACAAACGAACAATAAATATGCATATATATATATATATATATATATATATATTATCATGGTTAAACTATAGTACTCGAACGAGTTAATTGGAACCAAGAAAACTGCTTTTAATTTCTACCTAGAATTCAACAATGAATGATTTACATCACATGAAAAGCGCAACAGAAATACGCTTGTATAATGCTCAAAATATTTTAAATTATTAGAAAAAGTTATCTTTTTGTTACTATAGAGTAAAAATAGGTATTATTAAACTTATTAAGTGAACACTTTTTCTACCTGTAGATTAAACATAACACGTAAATCAGCCAATTTTTTGTCCCAATTTACGTTCTTCATAGTACACTCACGAAGAGATCATGTTAGTAGTGGCTCATTGGATAATAAAATAGGTAATATATCAGAGATACTAAAACGGATTGGGATCTCTATACATGATTTCTTCATATCGATATGAGAGCAACCAATGTCTTTTTAAGCAAAGATGCATAGTGGCTAGCAGTGGAATCCATGACGCGCGTTTCGTCCTATTTGAGACTCTTCAGCTCGATGTGTCTGCATCTCAGAGTTGATGTTTTCTCTGGGAATCAAACCCAATACCATTCGCTTCAAATGCCATCATTTTATAAATTTATAGGCGGTGATAATTTTTCTAAAGACTATTTATGAGAAACGTTGACAAAAAACTTTGAAAGTGGATGGTTAACTGTGTTCTAGCCTAAGGTCTAAGTAGATGATGTTACTACAAGGCTGTAAGTTCTTTTGCTTGATCCCCGGTTGTGTTGTAGGTGTGAACCGTTGATAAATCTCAAACTAGAGCAAAGTGACTATTCAGTGTTCCCTAACTACCGAACATTCTTTAGATGTGGTCTGTCAATAATGAAAACAATCTTCAAAGTAAACCAATGTATACAAACCAACCGATTATTTAATCATAACGTCAGTAAATTCATTTTTAACCTTTATTACTTTATGGTATCGGAAGTGTTTAAAGTTGTGTCTTTTATCAGGAAATTTTAATGATTACTTTTGATCTTGATGTTGGCAATAATAGTAACAAAGTTTGAAGTCATAAAATTATGGTCAGAAAGAGCCTAACTAATTTTCCCAGAGTATTTTGATTCTTTGTAGCGGCTCGTTTAAATTTTCCATTAGTTACGATGCATAAAAGTAGGCGTAATATTAAAATCAAGTTTATCTTGTTTACTGATTATTTTTTAGTGAAAAGTTATTAAGATAGATTATACTAAGCTACATGAAAGACAAATGTCAGTTGTATCAAACTATTGTTACAAGGCTTATTACAGAAAACCGTGTCAGAAGAATCCAATTGTTACTTTAACCACGTAAGCGAGTGGAAAGTTTCGAAGATCCATCAATGACGGTCTCTTTTAATTTTAAAGACCTGTATTTATGAGACCACATATGGTCGTTCTAATCTGACTTATCAAATGTTGAAATATATTAGAAAGTTTTTAAAAAAAGCGATAAACATTCAGCATTCTTGATGCTTTCCCAAATGTTCACCA